GCATGGTTTAAAATAATGATAATTAAGCTGAAGAGTGTGTTTACATTTATTTTTAAAAAAGACTATTTTGCGGATGGTGCTTGTGCTTTAACAGCTGATGCCTTCATGGAAACGTTAACAGTAGTGGCACTTTATCTTCATTTATACTCACCCGGGAAGGTGGAATAAATGAATGGCAAATGAAAAGATTGAGAAATGAGGCTAAAGACGTGTGTCAAAGCAGCTTTCCCCCTTTTATGAAATCACAGATATGTTAAAGAGAAATTATACTTTACATGTTATTTGGAAGTCAAAGGGATCTGCTCAATTTATTCATGAAGGAATTAAACAGTGAAATATTTTAAGGGAAATTAACTCCTACCCGAGTGCTCACTCCAATCTTCATTTTTTTTTCCTTTGTTGAGTCTCCTATGAAGCCCATTAAAGTGGAGATTTAAGAGATATATTGAATGGATCAATGCTTTATGAAATTCAAACATGTCACATCAGTAATAAAAATCTGTAATATTTGACATTTTTGCGTGTGGTTTTTTTTATTTTGTTGTTGTTGTTTTTTTCCTAACTTGCATAACAACAGATCACAGTCACGTTCAAGTGTTTGATTTGTTCATAATTGTAAAAGGAAATGGGCAAGGGAACATACATTTGTAAACAAAGAACATCCAGTGTGGTAAAATAACTGGCATGGGGAAAGATTTTAACTACATTAATTTTCCTCTGTCTCAATTTAAACATAAGGCACAAAGCAGTGTATTTGGTTGAAATTCCATTGTATAGAATATATCACCTTTTGCACTTATGTAACAATTTAGAAATCAGAGGTCTATATGAAGAAGAGTAAATATGAAACATAACAGAAAGCACAGCAGTAGTAGTCCAATTCACCAAAAAAAAGGATGATTTTATTTATTTATTTAAGATGCTGGGTTAGTGTGGAAAGTTGTGACAAGAAGAAATAGGATTTATCTCAATTAGATGAGGATAGCATGGTGGTACAGTGGTTAATACCGTCGCCTCACAGTGAGAAAGTCCTGGTCTCGTTTTGATTCCAACCTGGGGTTTTGCTGTGTGGAATTTGTGATTCTAAATTGACAATAGGAGTGAATGGTTGTAATAGCCCTTGGCAAACCTGTCCAGGGTGTACTATAACTCTCGCCCTGTGACAGCTGAGATAGGATCTAGCCCCAACCCTAAACTGGATAGGTGGAATAAAATGGACAGATGGTGTGGTGCAGAGTGCCCTCTGGTGAACAAACTATACAACATCAACCCTCATGGTAGAAAAGAGTTTTTTGAATTCCCATTTATTCAAAACTGTTTTAAGCATTAAAGTACTTCTTTCTTTTAATAGAAGAACAAATCAGATGCCCAAGGTGTTTAATTTGCATATTACATCTTTATTAAACAATGCCTAAAACCCCAGCATTAAGATTTAATCAGCGCTACAACAGCAAAGATCTATCATGCCCTAAAAAACAGCCAACAGGTTTGTTTTGCCCCTCAACTATTATTGCATTAGTTCCACATAGACAATAGAATAATCCAGAGTGGAATATCTGTGTCAAGAAAGGCTCATATGAAAACATTTCATACACAATGCTACTGATAGAGGGAGTAGAGGAAGGTGTATCCTTATGTATTAAACACAGTGCATCACTTAAGATGTACTTCCTCGGATACACGTGACTGGGCTATTTATTATTAATACTGGGTTGTTGTTGTTGTTTTTTTCCTTTTGTATTTAAATAATATTAACAAAAACAGAAATCCAAACATTAAATATACTAAATATTTTAAGAATAACTTAGAGAGCTGGATTTGTTGTTGTCTTTTGGAAATCCCCATAACCTCGACAGCTGTACAGACAATAAGCACGTAGAGAAATTGGTGCAAAAGGTACAATATACTGTTTAGCTGGGTCATTTTTAAACAAAGCTGCTACAATCAAGTAAGAAATTAAAAACATAAAATAAAAGGCTTAAAGAAATAGTTCAACATTTTAGGAAATTGTGTTTCATTTGGATTTTTGCTGAGAAAATCAATACAAGTCATATCTGTACAGTTAACATGAATTTGTCAGGAACTGCTTAGTTTA